GTAAGAGTTTGCTGTCCCCAGTGCTAGTAGGTGGAGAATGGACCTGGGACATCCCCAACCTCAGTTTTCTGCATCTGTATAATGGGTCCCCCATCGGCCTCCACCTGGAACCATCAGCTTGCTCCATCTGTATACAGATGTATACTCCATCTGTATACTGGGGTTCAAGATGGTCCTCCATGAATGGCTGCCTGGGCCTGTGCCTGCCACAGACCCGAGCCTCAGTTTCCCTGTCTGGGCAATAGGTTCTCACCAGTCCCCCTCGAACTTCTGCTGGGTCCCCTTGGGCCTTGGGTTTTCCCCCAGGGGTGGACGGGTCTGCAGTGGCCCCCTGCCCACATCTGGCCATCCCTCCCCACGTGGGGCTCCGTGTTGTGGGTCGGGCGGTGGGTCCGCAGTCCCAGCGTCCCCTGACCTGTCGCCTGTCCGGCCCGCAGGATGAGTTCCACCCGTTCATCGAGGCACTGCTGCCTCACGTCCGAGCCTTCGCCTACACCTGGTTCAACCTGCAGGCGCGGAAGCGCAAGTACTTCAAGAAGCACGAGAAGCGGATGTCCAAGGACGAGGAGCGGGCCGTGAAGGACGAGCTGCTGGGCGAGAAGGCCGAGGTCAAGCAGAAGTGGGCGTCGCGGCTGCTGGCCAAGCTGCGCAAGGACATCCGGCCCGAGTGCCGCGAGGACTTCGTGCTGGCCATCACCGGCAAGAAGGCGCCGGGCTGCGTGCTCTCCAACCCCGACCAGAAGGGCAAGATGCGGCGCATCGACTGCCTGCGCCAGGCCGACAAGGTGTGGCGGCTGGACCTGGTCATGGTCATCCTCTTCAAGGGCATCCCGCTCGAGAGCACCGACGGCGAGCGCCTGGTCAAGGCGGCGCAGTGCGGCCACCCGGTGCTGTGCGTGCAGCCGCACCACATCGGTGTCGCCGTCAAGGAGCTCGACCTGTACCTGGCCTACTTCGTGCGTGAGCGAGGTGAGGGGTGGAGGGGGAGGGTGGGAATGAGGGTCCGGGGGGAGGAGAGCGCAAAGAGAGTCCGACGGGGGAGGCGGCGGCAAAGAGAGTCCGACGGGGGAGGCGGCGGCAAGGGGAGTC